AACTGAGTTTGCTGTTTTACCGGATTGCTGTTAGCAAGACTTACAGCAAATCTTGTTGCATAATGTTTTTTTACAGGGTGGATTTGTAATGAATGAACTTCATGGTGGCAGGCTGACAAAGAAGACCAATATTGATTGCAAATGCCAAAAGGCAGAAGAATAGATTGGGGATAGGTGTCAAGTTCTGCTGGGGATGCTATGACAAGTATTAAGCCTGTGTGTTCAGCTCAACGCTACCCAAATGGAAATACCATATTCTAGGCAGTCAGACGAAAGTCAATGGCTCATGAGGGGGCACAGACAATTCCTGTGCATTCTGTACGGGCAGTCAAATTATTTGCATGGAAAAGGGCTTGCTAATTTAGTCCATAAAAGAGGAAAATAAATCATATCCCAAAGCAATGAGCTCTCAAGATCTCCTATGGAGATACCCTGCTGGATTCTGGTTTCATTTGCATCAGCAGAAGTCGCCCAGTTGCAGTCAGCAGAGATGAAAATCAGACCTGCAGAGGTCCTAATGATGATTTCACATTTTGTTGTTAAAAAGATTGTTTTCTCTCATCATGCAACATTTTACTCTCACAGAATCCAAAGCTGGAACTCCAGGACTGTGGGGAGAATGAACAACAAATGCAACCAAAGAAAGCAGCAGGTAAAAGATCAAGATTTTGGGGCAAACATGTTCCGTATTGAGAATGCAGACTGCACGATTCCTTGTTCTTCAGGCTGATGTAAGAGTTGCACCATTAGGAGTGGCATTCAAAGATTTTATACTGAGTATGGCTGAGTTTTAATGTGAATTGTGGGTAGCCATACATGCTGTATTCCTTTCCTCCTTAAATACTTCTCTGTATGCCCCTGTGGCACTTAGCAAGGCAGACATAACACAGCACCACCTTAGAGATTGCTTTTGAAGCAACTAATTGGAATACACAGGAGGAAGGTGTCCGTGGAATTAGAACCATTACATTAAACCAAAAGTAAAGAAAAATATTATTTGAAGTGACATTTAGTTTGAACAGATGTTTATTTCCTCTCAAAGTAAATACTTTTTACTATCCTTCAATACATAATTGTCACAAACTGAATTTAGTACTCCAATTGGCAAAAACTTTATAGATTTGTCTCACATTCACGTCTCCAAAGACAGGCATATAATTAAATCTTTAGCTTAATTGATTGAAAAAATTTGGTGGGTTTCATGTCATCCAGATGATGAAATATGTGCGCTTCTACTTCCCCATTTGTGCCCTGGTATTCATCACTGGGCCAGTACCATCCGCCACAGGAACACATGAGGAATGGTTTCTATCTGGAAACACAAAGGAAAGACTGTGGCTTTATAGTGGCATCATTCCATTGACTCTCCTGACACTTTAAAAAAATCTCTCCTGGTGTAAATGAGAGCAAAATCAAAATAGTAGCTTTAAGCTATTCCTTGTTGGTTCCTCCACCACTTGCATCAGAAAGTTATCATCGATGCTCTGTAGGAACCTCCTGGACTGCGCCTGCCTAGCTGTATGGTCTTCCCAGCTGATGTCAGGGTGGTTGAAGTCCCCCATGAGAACCAGGGCCTGTGACTGTGAGGCTGCTTGCAGCTGCCTGTAGAAGGCCTCATCAACCTCCTCCTCCTGGTCTGGTGGCCTGTAGTACACACCCACAGTAATGTCACCCTTATGAGCCTGTCCCTTAATTCTAACCCACAAGCTTTCAAGTCGTTCCTCATTTGCCCCCAGGCCAAGCTCAATGCATTCTACTTGCTCCCTCACATACAGAGCAACTCCCCCACCTCTCCTTGTTGTTCTGTCTTTCCTAAAGAAAGGAGATCATGTACTTTAGCACCAGCTCCTGGTAAAACAGCACAGAGTAACAGCATTTTTCTTGACCTTGACATTAGAAAATTACAAATTAACACATCTGAAAGCATGGTCTAGTTGCTTGATCTCATTCCTGCAAAACACATAACTATCAGGAAATCTAGAGATAATTTTACAGGAAGGAATTACTGAAGTGGATTATATGTTTTAAGAAAGTCTAAACTTCAGCTGATGGTGGGACATGAAGATTATCCTAAACAAAAACAGAGTAAAGTACCTGAACTGGGGGAGGATGTCATCATTTGAATTCTGTCTACACATGGCTTTACTTGTAACTCAGTATGGTTTCAAGAGAAGTTCATACTACAGAGGAAGAGGCAATCTAAAACATGTAGCACTGGTGTTTTGGGTAGAGGGTCAGGTTGCCATTAGTGGTGACTGATTAATGGTCCTTCTGATGCAAACTAAGAAAACTGCATCTCTCATTGTCCACTCTGTACTGACTAATGGCAATGTAGAGGACAGCTGAGACTAAGAATACACTGACATTTTCCAACAGACCAGCCTTTATTCCTTGCAAATAGCTACCCCACAAATGAGTGTGACGCATTCACTATAGCTGCTAGCTGAAGCTACTCCTTTAGACTAATCAGTCATTGGTGATTTCTTTTTAGTACTAACAGTTTTCAGATATGAACCTAGAATGGCCAAAAGTGACCAAAGCAAACATGGCTGTATCATACTGCGCGAATGCTCCTCAGTAGATATCAGCCACAATCATGAAATTTCAATCCAGAATCTTCTTTAAGTACTGAGGGATGTTGGCTGGCAAGCTGTGCCCCTGGCACATAACTTTAAATGCACAGACGTACGTGTCTTCCCCCACTTCTTCAGAAAGGTTTGGTATCAGAAACTTGTGGAATGAGGTTTTTGATACAATAGTGACTTTCTGCAACCACATTGGGAACAAGTACCATAGAAGATTACATCCAAAGACTAGCTGCCATGATAAACGGACAGTCTGCCTGCAACAATGACCGTTCTTCATTTCTGCAAGTGACATTTGTTGACTTAAGACAGTCCACTACTCTCGCCACCTTTGGAGGAAATCAGGAAGTTCTGACTTTCTGTTACTTTTAGACTAGAAAAGCCATTCGAGATTTATGATTGAGAACAGTTGCCTCAACTTGCACTTCTTGACCTCATAGTTCATAGTGTTTTCACTTGCCACATTACAAAGCGTAGAGCCCTTGCTTCCCAGGAAACTCCAAGAACCCAACATGAGCAAGGCAGAGTTCGCTGGGGGCTTGTCCTGGATGGCTGACAGCATTCAGTCAATTGAGGAACTGGGCCCTTTATGACTAAAATTAGATTACAAATTCTTCAGCGAAAAGACAGCTTTCCTCTAAAGGGAAACCTGCAACAAGCTTCTCTGTCACTGTAAAACAATGATGATAGGTGGCTTAGGTAGTAGGCTAGAGAGAGAGAGAGATGTCATCACTGATGTCTGACCGCCTGTGAGAGAAACAAGGAATAACATTGGACAGTTAAGGTTTCAAGTAATTGAAAGTATCTACAATATAACGAATTGACATCTGGCAACAGTATCCTGTTCCAGTTAGCACATCATTTTGGATAGCTGGAGTTCAGCTAACTGAGGTTGCACTATAAATGCTTTATAAGGATTTTTCCAGTATGCAGCTTCTTTAACTCTGGAGGTCTTCAAGATTCTTATGTCAAATCCACTGCTTTTTGTAAAAAAAAAAAAAAAAGTGAAACGTAATGAATCCAACCTACATACTAGATACATTAAAGTCTGAATCTTCCTGCCAAGGCTGACTAGTCTGGGAGGTGGAATGTGTGGTTCTCTAAGACGGCTACAAATAGATCCTGTCCCATCAGAGATGAAAAAGCCAGCTGAGCCGGCCAGCAAAAATGTAAAGCAGACATTAATCACAGCAGCCTGCACCTTCCCTCCACTTGCAAGCTCTGTGTACCAGCAGGAAGAGGAATGGAGAGAGCACCAAAGACAACGGAGATGGCTCTTACGCACTTCCTGAATTATTGCTAGCTCAGAGGCACTGTAACTAATTGGTTGCTCTTCACTTCCCTGTGGGATGCATTTCAACCAAAAGCAACACACATGCAAAGCACCCATCTGATTGGCTTGACTGAGGTTTTCTTTAATTACACAGTAGTAAAACTAATTTTTTCCCCCTCCCTGAGGAAAGAAAGGCAGGAAACACAACCTCAGAAGGACCATCATCAATCTGCCACCTTCAGTATTGAAATCTAAACCTCCTCTTTCAGCTTCTGTTATATGGACTTACATACAAAGACTGATGCTCTCATGGCATGACTTGCACATTCAGGAAATAAAACTAACCAACAAATTCACCACACCTTTCTTACGTAACATTTATTTCTAATCAATATATGTTATTGGGGCTTTCTTTGTTTCTGACTATTTACTTCCTAAAGCAACAAAACTTTCCACCACACCACTTCTGCAGGTATCCTCTTTTACAAGTTTCACAGCAGGGATACAACTTGTCAGTTCACTTGGCCATCATTTTGCCAGTGACAAAATACCTGGTGTGATACATCAGTCTCTGATTCACTGCCCTTCTCACTGTTTTTTCAGAAATTTGAAGACCTCAAATGGAGAAGTGTTACATAGAAATTGGTAGGAGCGGGTCATCTTCACTTTCCAGTGCAATATGGAACATTTCCTATAAGCTCTGGAAGACCTTGAACTACCAAGTTTTAAGACATCACTATAATTATGTACTTTACAGATATTTGAAGACATCCTGAAGATTTCAGTAATACATTTTCTATTCTAAGCAGCCTACAAAAGTTTTTTAAAATTCCTTAAAACATTTCCATGACAGATTTTCTTCCAGCTCAAAGAAAAAGAAACAAACACAAAAACAAACATGTAAATGATTCAAAATGGGACAGCATAGGATTTTAACATTCTCTTCCGAAATCGCACATGAATACACTACTTATAAGAAAGTTGTGCCATATTCATGCTGATAAAAACCCTTATATCTCTTAATCATATTCTTGAGTAAATAGTAGATAAACACACAGTTCAAATCTAGATGTATAACAGTAATTATGTACATGCACACAGAATTTATTGATGAGCTACTTCAGTCAGGAGAACAGTAGTACCTTCTTTTTGCTGCAGTAAATCTGCCATTTCTTCTCTGGAGGGAGTGCAAACATAGCCTCTCTGTTCTTGTCTGTGAGATCCAGTTCATCCTGGAGATTGTGACAAAGAAAAACAGAAAAAAAACAGTCAACAGCTGTATTAGTAACTTCTAATAGGTTGAAAGGAATCTGGACCAGGTATGTTGACTAGCCTTCAGTCAAAAGGCAGAGGACTTCATGGCTTCCAAAGAATCCAAAGATTATTGGTGTCATAATTTTTACCTTGCTACTGCAAGTTCTCCCTATCAGAGCAAAACCTATGAAGAGAGGCAGCCTGAACAACTTCCATGTCAAACTTCCACTAATAATGATCAATCAAAGATGGGAAAGATCACATGAAAGGCATGAAGTGAAAAACTCCAAGCAGTGGCTTATGTGACACAGACACTCTGTACAACTCATAGAGAAAGGCTAAAAATTCAACATGCCTTTTTCCTGGCCTGCAGTACCAGTTTAGTCTTCCATAAGAGGAGAACAATGAAATCACTTTATCTTTTAAATGAAGGTCACAAGACAGTTGTCTAGTGGCAGTAATGTCAACAGCAACCTACAGGTTGAAATGTTTGTCCAGATGTTTGTCCTCTGAACCACACAGTCCACAGCAAAAGACAACCAGTGTTTCAGACATAAAGAACGTATTTCCACACAGCATCACATCAGGTTGAACAGACGAGTAAATTCAGTTTCTGTTAAGAAAAGTGACTCCAGTGGAACACACCCTTTAAAACCCATTTTTAAAATGAAGGACAATGTCCTGATCTGGAGCTGACTCCCTGCTCTGTCACAAGCTCCCTCTGGATACATCACCAAGTTCCCCAGCTTTGGTTTCCCTCCTGTAAAGGTAGATGACAATAGAATCTCTTCCTATACAACATATCTCTAAAATCATCGAAGCAGAGACTGCTACTTGCTCTTTGTTTATTCAGCACTGACCAGAACAGGGCTCCAGCTGCCAGTTTCGGGTGCTAATGGGAAGTAAACAAATCAGAATATCTTCGTAGCAAGCAGCCTGCATGAGCAGGGACAGACGAAAATACCCAAATGAGAGTTTCAGCAATATAAAGACAAGCTTCCAATAATGTTTCAATGAATCAGTTTTCGCAGGATTTTCTTTTTCCTATATATTTGAGAGTGTTTGGAAAAGGAAGTGTCCAGGGGTCCAATATCGAGATGATTGCAGCACTAAGAACGCTGCACATGCAGATTCTGGCACCCACAGTAACCTAGCCCAAGCAGAGACAATACCTCTTTAACTCAGCCCAACAATGGCTCATTTGGAAAGCTTTCAGGGCTGGGAAACTTGTGAAAACAGTGAGCTAAATTGCACACTGAGCCTGGTAGCGGCTGCTGACAGATTTAAAAGCCCATAGAGATTTCAGCTGCAAAAAGGTACAAAAGAAATGCAAACAGTAACAAGGCGAGGTCAGTGCCAGCAGCCCAAGGTAGAAGAAGCTGGAGGGTTTTTTTTAAACAACAATCAGTTTAAAGGCAACCCCCCCCAAAAAAAAATTTAGCTGTGCAAAAAGACTGCAAACCATGTGGAAATGTTTAGGGTGAGTTTCCAAACAAGGGGGCAGCCAAGCAAGGCAAGGAGTTTTATCCTTGCTACACACAATTAGAAAGCTCAGGCCAGGATCACATTCTTGGGGGGAGAGGGAGAATGAAATGACATGTAAGGTCTTAAGACAAGCAAAGGAATGCTGTTGGAGGTCAAGCATGTGGGAGAGAAAGGAGGGGCAGATGGAATCAGAAATGCCAGGTTTGGAAGAACCACCAAAGAGGCCAGAATATATGTCTGAAATGAGCTTGCTGGGCTCAGCTAAAGTCATAGAAAAATTATGATTGTTATACTGAATGGCGTAATGATCCTAGCTTTTTTTTTCTTTTTTTTTTTTTTTTAATAAAGAGCAACTTAGTTTTCTAATCCATACGACTCTTTCTGGAGTCTCATGGCAGATCAGACAAGCAGCAAAAGCTCTTCCCAGAAACTGTGCACAAAACTGAACGATGTTCTCAACCATTATAGTTCAAGACAACCGTTTCATCAAAAGAACGCTCCTACTGGCTGAAACCACCCAGAGGACAGTATGCTGCCACTTAGCATCTTCTAGACACTGCCCTGGACACTGGCACTATCAGGGAGAAAAAGAGTACTCTGCCTTCAGTGGAGCAATGAGAATATGAAACTTCCAGTCATGTAATTTTGCATCCCGATAGCATGGCATTCTTTTCAGGACAGAAGCCTAGAAAGGTAGTTTGAAGGGATGAAACACCCAGTGGGAGCAAAGTGCATCCACACCCTAATTGCTGTGACTCAGTGGGGTAGATTAAGCCAGAAGAATGTTAGGAGTCATCAAGTTAGCTCAGGTAACATAGTAGCAAGGAAACTACTCAGGGTTCCAGGCATAACATGATCACCAGAGGCAGACCCAAACACACCTGACTGGAAAACAGCAGATGGAGGATGGATTATCCTTCCTTTTGAAACCGCTAGTATTTGTCTTCATTAGGAGGGAAAATGCTGGGTTGTCACCTCCAGCTGTGCCAGCTTCCCAAAAGAATTATAGTAACTCCTCTTCTGTGCCTTGGATGGGCACCTCGGTTCCAGCAATTCGTGCCAGCATGACCCTGCACAATGGAGCTCAGCCTCTCAGCTGTTAAAAATACTTGAAGTTGCAAGTGTTCTCATGAAGCACAGATTAAAAAGACATTTGCCAGGTTGGCCTGAGGGACATGTAAAGTACCTCCAGTTAATATTCCTTACATTTCTCTCCTTTATCTGTTTCCTGTTGTTTTGGGTTTTTTTTTATTGAGAGGGGGATACAGTTAATTTCACTTTCATGTGGGCATTTTTTTTCACTTACACAGATTCAATTTAAGTGATAAAACATTTAAAATGTACCGGAGCTGGATTTGAGGTTCAAACATGTCCAGTTCTCAGGCCAAAAGGGAAGATGGCCTCCATTCAAAATGGCTACAACCCAAGGAAATAAGAGACAGAGAGAGAGAAAGGGAACAAGAAGGAGGAAGGGGCAGGAAGCATAAAAACAGTATTTTGTGACATTTAAAACCACATTATGTCCCTTATTTTTGAGAACAATCATCAAAGTGTGAAAGCTGGATTTGATGCTGGGTACCCATCAGCTCAATAATGATATCACTCAAGGTCCCAGAACAGCTGGACATAAAAGTGTTTCTCAGCTAGACTGGGCAGCACATTTCTTAGTGAAATGAAATAAAATAAATATATATATAAACATATATATAGAAAAAGTAATATTTTGGGAATGTAAAAGAGTGGTTGTCTTCAAGAGAGAACCACTAAAGGAGAACATTTAATGCCTACCAATATCTCTGTACGGAAATGTGTATCGCATCTCCATCATGCAGTCATCTGTGGAAAGGTGGGACAGAGTCACAAGATAGCTGCTCCTTCACCAACCAACTTCACCTTGCCTTGCAAGAAGACTTTAACAGCCCATAGAAATTTTGGAATTTAAACAGGGAAAACTTCACATAGTTTGAAAGGCAAACTTAGTAAGATACTGAGAGACGCAATAAGACTTCCTATTTTCAACATACCAACGCTGAAGCCGCAGCAGGGATGGGATGGAAACCTCAAGACTATGAGTAGTCAGAGTATCAAGGCCTCAGGGCTCCAGCACCTCTTGGCTTGAAGTCAGAATGCTGAAGACCAAGAGCCCCAAACTTGGTTCTCCAGGGTTATTTGGACCATCATGGGAGGACTCCTCAGTTCCAGTTTCTCATTCTACTTGTCCCCCTTCCACCGGGTGCCGGAATTCCTGGTCACCAGGGAGTTTCCCAGTGACTTAAGGTCAGACAGCTGCCTCATTTTGTAACAGACAATAAATAACAATCCAAAACAACCATCCTTCAGAGGCTAGTGGGGTTGTTTTTTTGGGTTTGGTGGGTTGTGGTTTTTTTGGGTTTGTTTTGTCATTATAAAAGTTTAATGAATTGCACGTAGCATTTCCAGCATACTGAAGCACAGAATTCTGACATAATATGTTTTGTTTACTGCAGGCAACAATTTCATTAATATGGGCATAGTACATATTTTGCCAGAAGGAAGAGGAGATTTTTTTTATTTTCTTGTTTTCACTTAGATATTTGTCTTATTTCATCAATTTCTTATGATTTTAGCTACAGACAACTGAGTTATACTTTTAATTTTTGTCTGTAGGTCACAGTCTGTCTTACAGTGTTCTTGAAATCACATCCTTTCTATGAGCATCCATCCTAGGCCTGTGTTTCACATTTAATGGCTTCTTTTATGATTGAAAGAAGTGAATGACATCTAAAAGCACATTCTCATTTTTTAAATGTTTATTTCCCCCTACAAACATATTCAGACAATTATTAAAGAATTATTAAAGAATGAAATCCTTTCACCATTCCCAGAAGGAATAGCTTTGGCATGAAACAAATCTTTATTTTACACCACAGAATCCAAGCCTAAGATATAATACATTGGCAGTCTTCTTCACTTCTGCTGTGCAGAGATGCCTATTTTCACTGTCTCATTACTGCTCTGTTGCACTGTTTGGACCTTTAGCAGTGGATGGGTGCTCAAGCAAAAGGACAGCCAGGTCTCAGTATCAACAGGCACCATGGGAAGCAAATCCTCAGATGCACAAAATGGCCAAGCTCCCCAGAAATGTTAAACTTTACTGTTCTTTGTTAAACTCAAAAGGGAAACTGAAGAACATCCAATCCAGATGAGACTGGCTGTTACCTGTCCTGTGACCAGCACCAAAAGCTGCAGAGTGCTGTGCAAAAGCCCTGCAGCTACAAAGCCATAGAGCAAACTCTGTAGATGGTCAAACACTTCCCAGCTCTCTGCCTCAAAAAAATGGCTGATGCTGTGACGCAGGTGAGTTAATGTCCCTTTCTAGATGGGGGTATTTGCAAGTATTTGATATTTGCAAGTATTTTTTTGCGCAGCTCCAAAGTTTTCCTTTTGCTCAGTCACACCAGCATTACCCTTAATGGTTCTTTGTGGGTCATACAATAGGGAACAAAACTGAGAA